CGCCATCATCTGCTGACTGGAAGCAGCAGCTGCAGCAGCAGCAGCAGCAGCAGCAGCTGCAGCAGGAGCAGAAGCTGCAGCAGGAGCAGCAACTGCAGCAGGAGTCGGAGGTGTTCTCACCCCAAGAGCACGCCAGCTTTATGAAGAAACAGCAGCAGCAGCAGCAGCAGCAGCAGTTCGCTGGATCTATTGCAGCAGCAGCAGCAGCAGCAGCAGCAACAGCAGCAACAGCAGCAGCAAACCCGTTCACACGGGCAGGGCTAGCGAAGGAGTTTAGTCCTATGGGCAACCCAGTCATCTGTGACGACGCACAGCAGCAGCAGCAGCAGCAGCAGCAGCAGCAACTGCAGCAGCAACTGCAGCAGCAGCAGCAGCAGCAGCAGGAGCGGCAGTACCTGGCGCAGCAGCTGCAGCAGCAGCAAGACTTCCTTGAGGGCGAAGCAAAGAGACTAGATAGCGATGGATGGACTGACGCGGGCTTTGCTGCTGCTGCTGATGCAGCAGCAGAAGGTGCTGCTGCTGCTGCTGCTGTTGCTGCTGCAGCAGAAGAAGCAGCAGAGAGGTATAGTGAGGATGGTATCTAAACAAAACAACACAAAAGGAGACAAAAAAAAAGGAGACAGCAGCAGAAAATAGAAATAGAGACAGACACAGATGTAAACACACATAGCTAGCAGCAGCAATGCGGCGCGTTCTGCTGCTGCAGCTGCTGCAGCTGCTGCAACTGTTGCTGCTGCTGGTGCTGCTGCAGCTTCTGCTGCAGCAACTGCTGCTGTTGCTGCTCTTTGTGCAGCATAGAATATTTCGTTTGTTGCTGGCTGCAGTTTTTACCTGCCTTTTGCTGCTGCTGCTGCTGCTGCTGCTGCTGCTGCCAAGGAGGCACAGCAGCAGCAGCAGCAGCAGGAGCAGCAACAGCAGCAGCAGCAGGAAAAATGAAGCTGCTGCTGCTACGGCTGCTGCAGCAGCAACTGCTTAGCCGCAAACATCTGCAGCAGCTTTGGGGTGTATAGGCACCTCACGCTAGCAGCAACGGCCCCCCATATTTAATAGACCGCACACCAACAGCAGCAGCAGCAGCAGCAGCAGCAGCAGCAGCAGCAGGATGGCAGCAGCAGCAACAGCAACAGCAGTAGTAGCAGTGGTAGCAACAGCAGCAGCAGCAGCAGCAGCAGCAGCAGAAATAGCCGTAGTAGCAGCAGCACGGAATAGATATTGGGGTGTATGTACACCTCTTACTATTTCTAGTCATCTGCTTATATAGATAGTCTATATATATATATAATATATATATATATATATATATATATATATATATATATATATATATATATATATAT